CCGAGGGTTGCGATCCCGTTACCGGTCAGTAAAAAAGACAAAAAGGAAAAAAAAAAAACAATCAAAGGAAATATATATTTTTTAAATGTGGAAGGAGTTACGTAAAGGTAAAAAATTGGGAATAAACTGAATGTCCAACAATATGAGAATGGCTAAATAAATTACATACCTCCAGAAAATACAATGCAGTTATTAAAATAACAATTGAAGAGTATTTAAGACAAATTTTCAATATGTAATATTAAGTAAAAAAGCAGGGCGAAACATGGCTCTAAAAATAACTAGGTATGTTCAAACTCCAGATATACTTCCAAAAAAATGACTGAAAAAAATTTTTTTTATAATTTTTTTTTTGCTAAAACGGAAATTCATTTAATGTAAATGCATACATTAATAAAAGAGAAAGATCTCAGATCAACAATCACCTTTGTACCTTAGGAAACTAGAAAATGAAAAAGCAAACTAAGCCCAGACCTAGCAAAGGGAGGACTGAATAAAAATTAGAGCATAGATAAAAGAAATAGAAAATAGAAAAAAAAAATAGAGAAAATCGATGAAACCAAAAGTTAGTACTTTGATGAGATCTATAAAATCGACAAACCTTTACCTAGATGGACTACAAAAAAGGAGAGAAGACTCACCTAAAATCAGAAACGAAAGAGGGATCATTACAGCCAAATTTACAGAAATCAAGAGGGTTGTAAGAGACTACTATAAATAATTGTTGGTCAACAATTTAGGTCATCTAGATGAAATGAATAAATTCCTAAAAACACGCCACCTACCAAGACTGAATTATGAAAAAACAGAGAATTTGAAAAGAACTATAGTTAGTAAGATAAGTGATTTTTTTTTTTTTTAAAGATGACCGGTAAGGGGACCTTAACCCTTGGCTTGGTGTTATCAGCACCACACTCTCCCAAGTGAGCCACGGGCCAGCCCAAGATAAGTGATTATTGTTCTTTGGATTCCAGATGCAGGACTCCCTTGAGGATTTCTTGGTGAACTCCTGCAGTTTTTGTCTGTCTGGAAAATACACTATTTCTCTCTCATTTCTGAAGCCTTGCTGGGTATAGTATTCTTGGCTGGTAGTTTTCTTCTTTTAGTATTTTCTTCTGGCCTGTAAAGTTTCTGTTGAGAAGTCTGTTGTTAGTCTGATAGGGGCTCCCTTATAGGTAGCTTGATGCTTTTTTCTTCTTTTAAGATTTTCCCTTTGAGCTTTGCCAGTTTGACTGTAATGTGTCTTGGAGAGGATCTTTTTGGGTTGCATCTGTTTGGGGATCTTTTGAGGAGCCTCCTGGGTTTGAATGTCCGTGTCTCTCCCTATACCTGGGAAGTTTTCTGTTATTTTGTTGAATAGGTTTTTCATGACTTTTCCTTTCTTCTCCCCTTCTGGAATGCCCATGATTTGAATGTTTGTGCACTTAAGGTTTTCTGCTAGCTCTCTTAGGTTTTCTTCAACTTAAAAATTTTTTTTCCTTTTTTTTAATGTCTGCCTGGGTTATTTCAAAAAGATGATCTTCAAGATCAGAAATTCTTTCTTCTGGGCCGGCCCGTGGCTCACTCAGGAGAGTGTGGTGCTGATAACACCAAGGCCCCGGGTTCGGATCCCATATGGGGGTGGCCAGTTCGCTCACTGGCTGAGCGTGGTGCTGACAACACCAAGTCAAGGGTTAAGATCCCCTTACCGGTCATCTTTTAAAAAAAAAAAAAAAAAGAAAAGAAAAAGAAATTCTTTCTTCTGCTTGTTCTAGCCTGCTGCTTAAGCTCTCGGTTGTGTTTTTTACTTTGTTGAGTGAATCTTTCAGTTCCATAAGTTCTGCTATATCCTTTTCTAAAGGATTAATCTCTTTGTAAATTTCCTCTTGCATATATCCTGGATTTTTTTCTCATTTCATTACATTGTCTAATCGAGTCTTCTCCTGTCTCAGTGAGTTTTCTTAAGATTGTTCCTCGGAATTCCTTTTCAGTCATTTTCTGGGTTTCCTGCCCCTATAGTGTCTGGTATTTGAGAATTACTGTATTTTGGTGATGTCTTATTTTCTTGGAGTTTCATATTTCTATTATCTCTAGGTTGATGCCTGGTCATCTGGTAGAGCAGTTGCTTCTTCTTTTACTCTGGAGAGGGGTTTGAGGGGAGAGATGTCCTTTTATTTTTCTGGTATCTGCTGGTGACACTCCTTGTGTCAATGCAGTCAAGTGTCTGGCAGGCCACTTGCATGGCTGCTGTGGCTACTGCTGTGGTGTCAAACCGCATGTGGCAGCCATGGCTGTGGTGGGCCACCTGCACTGAAGTGGTGTTTTCATCATGCTCCTTGCCTGCTTCCAGGCGGGGGATGCTGCCCTTGGCTCCTGCCTAGGCCCCCTGGGTGTGCTCTGCTGCTTGCCTACTTCCAGGCAGAGGAAGCAGCTGCCCTTGGCCTTATATTAAATTTTATTTATTATTGTTGTAGCAGAAAAAAAGGTTTATTTACAAGACAGCCAAGCTAGGAGACAGGAGAATAAATCTCAAATCTGTCTCCCCATAAATAGGGTAGCAGGGATTTTTATGGGGAAAGGGTTAGGGGTGATGTAGGACGATTGTAGGGGTAAGGGTGGGTTGTGTAGGGCAATGATTGGACAAAGAATTTGAGAATGTTCTTCAGTGATCTGCACAAGCACAAGCTATCTGCATGCCTCTTCATGGGTCTCATGTTCAAAACATGGCGGTGTTAGCATGATCTGGAGGTGGAGTTTGTGGCCCTCTGAAGTCAAAAGGCCACCTATTGGATACTCACATAGGCCCAGAAGAGAGGTCTGTGGGCACAACCAGTTTGAACTGGCTTGGATGGAATGAAACCAACTCCAAGATCCTGAAAAACATAGTTTCTTTTTTTTAAAAAGATGACCGGTAAGGGGATCTCAACCCTTGGCTTGGTGTTGTCAACACCATGCTCACTGAGTGAGCTGACTGGCCATCCCTATATGGGATCCCAACCCGGGGCCTTGGTGTTATCAGCACCGCACTCTCCCAAGTGAGCCACAGGCCGGCCCCTGAAAAACATAGTTTCTGAGGCTGGGAAGTTCAAAGTCCATCTGGTGGTGGTGACAGTGACCCAGGATTCTCACTTTGCAAGATGGTGGAAGCAGAGAGAGCAAGAGAGAGTATATTAAATTTTAAACAAGCAAAAATGTCAGAATCGATGAAATAAAATAGCAAATGATAATTGTTGAAGTTGGGTGATGGGTATATAGAGGCTTACTACACTGCTCTATTTTTTTGAGTTTGAAATTTTGTTCAACTTTGAAAAGTTTGTGCAAGTTTGAAATTTTCCATACTAAAAGACTTTATTGAAATGTAAAAATTAAGGCTGGCCGGTTAGCTCAGTTGGTTAGGGTGTGGTATTGATAACAACAAGGTCAAGAGTTTGAATCCCTGTACTAGCCAGTTGCAAAAAAAAAAACAACCTTAAATGTGTATATAATTTGCGTGTGCACAGAAAGTTGTCTGGAAGGGCAAAACAATAAACTGTCAATAGTGATAACTCTTCCTTGTTGCCTCAGACAGATTATATGACTTTCATAGCTTTCCTTTGGAGTTCTCAGATTCTCAAAGTCCTAGACCCCCAAGCATGTCACTTAAGGATTTTGGGCGGATTGGAAGGAGGGAATGATGGAGGGGCAGTGAGACAGCTGCTGTCCTGGTCCAGGTAGGAACAGAATAGGGCTGGATTCATGACTGTAGCCTTGAGGGTGAAGAAAAGGGGACTAATTCAAGAACTACTTCAGAGATAGACTTGAAAGACTCTGACAAGCTCCTATGGGGGCAAGAATTGTCCTTTGCTTAACTGGATTTCCCCCACAACTGGGGGAAATGCAGTTCCAAAGAGATTTTCTGACATATTCCTTGGTGATAGGGGTAAAATTTCACACATGTAAACTCTAGCATAGTGTAACTGTTGAATGAAAGCATGACTAATGCAAACCTGTTCCTTTCTGTTCAGAGAAAGTAAGAACTTGACTATTTATACCTGAGCTTATCAGTTAAGTGAACTAATTAATATATTTCCTTTTTGTTTTATTGCTGCCTAAGAGGATTTCTGTCACTTGCAACCAAGAGTCCTGACTAATGATCACACATACACAAACTTTTACATACAATTTTGGGTATTCACATATCTCTTCCCTCCCACCAAGCTCTTGGGCTCCCAGTCCTTCAGATTTAGAGTGAGATCTCTCTAATGTGAATCCTGGAGCTGGCCAGATGGCTCAGTTGGTTAGAGTGTGGTGCTAATAACACCACGGTATACGGTTTGATCCCAGTACCAGCCAGCTGCCAATAAAGTGAATATCCATTCACAATACACCCTGCTTAATAATACTTTGTGGTCTCCAAGGACTTGCTGGGCAACTGTCCAGGCCTCTCCAATCTAGGTGGTTCTCCAGCACCCAGGACTCCAGGAGTCATTGCACTAACCAGTGCACTGTTACTTGTTCATGTGGTACACAGGTGCCTACGTCCATGTCCCTTGTAAGCTCCTCCTACCCTAATCCAAACTCCTCTGTCCCTCCACCTTCCTGGGGTTTCCTCATGACTTCATAAAGAGGGAAGACAGATGACATAGAGGAAGGGCCACCCACTTCCTGAACCTAACGTTTCCAGATCAACTCCAAGGAGCCATAAGTCCTCACAAAATCAAACAACTGGAGGGGTATGAAGGGAAAACTTTAGGACTTGTCCCCAAAGACACAGTAATGCTTTTTGGCTTCTGCAATGCTCCCGCCATCATAAGGTCATTGAGCAAAGCTTAACAGAGAGCATGAAATTTTTGATATTCCCTGAAGACAAATTCTGTGCTCTAAAAAAATTCGAGATTATCAGAAAGCAATAACATTATGCAAAATAACTCATCCAGGCATTAATAGGCCTCCAGACTTCGGATGCTATGCTGAGTTTAAGTTCACGGTCAAGTAGATAAGCGGTAGAGAGCAAAGAGTAGTTCACGGTGCACGACTGAGGGTGAGGCCAGGATAAAGCCCCCGGCTTGCGAGCCCTTGCTAGAAGGAAACAGTTCTCCGAGACAACCCTGGAGGCGCCCGCGGAGAACGGGAACCGCCCAGAGCTGCAGCTCATCACTGCCTTCGGGAGTTCTTTGCTTCCACGATGCTCCGGTGGCAGAGAGTAGCGAAAGCAGGGTGGAAGGTGGGTCTCTTCTGGACCTTGAAGAAAGCGTCCCTTGGCGGGAGGGACTGGTTTTGGGGCACTCAACCTCCAGTCTCAGGAAGCCCGCAGCAACTCCGGCGAGGGGGCCGCTCCACTTTGCTCCCGTCTAGTGCCCGGCGCCTCCGTATGCTCATCCGGAAAAGGGGCGCTGTGCTCCCCGGGGGCCTGAGCAGGCTTCCGGCGCCCGGCGGGCGGACAGGGTGGCTCTCAGCCCACTTAGCTGACAGATTCTCACCTCCGCCCGAGGTGCGCAGTGCGGCCTTCCCCGGGACCCCACGCCGGAAACCAAGGCGCCCTCTTCCGCCGCCGGCCGGAAGTGTCCTGCGAGTCGAGGTGAAGGGGCTTCCGGCCGCTGTGCTGCGTAAGCGGGGCTCACCATGGCGGCCTCCTTGGTCGGAAAGAAGATCGTGTTTGTCACGGGGAATGCCAAGAAGCTGGAGGAGGTGCCGGGAGGGTGTTGGAGGATCCGACCAGGAAGCGGCTGGGAATGGGGCAGAGAAGGGACTTCCGGGCGGAGGGAAGCACGCGGGAGGAGGCGTGGAGGGATAGAGCTGAGTACGGCCGGGAAGGATGGGTTGGGACGAGGATGGGTAGGAAGCCAGGGGCGCGGGGAGGGGACGGTCGCGGAGTGGGGGCGCCTGAGGTTAGCAAGAGGATGAGGGCCTCGATAGATCCCGGTGCAGAGCTGTAAGGTCAGCGGCTGCGGGAACCGGAGGGGTGGCGGGACCCTTAGCACTTGTCCAAAAGGTCACCTATTGAGCTAGACCCCAAGCCGGGACCCCGACATTCCTCTGGGACTGATCCAGATCCCGCTGCTGGCCCGGAGGTGGCAGGGGTCAGAGAGGGCGTGGGATGGAGATCCATATTGAGCAGTCCATGACCCACCACGGTACAGAAATGTCCTTAGCCTCTTTCCGAATTCGTGAAATGGGAATGACGCTGGACATCTGCTTCACTACGCTAGGGAGAGGAGGAGTAAAGAAGGCAAAGGATACAAAGTTTCTGCCTAGCAGAACTTCGTGGTTAGCTGACAGGATTCTGGGGGTTGATAAAACGTCTTCGGCTACCTATAACAGAGACACAGGAAGCTCATGTAAACCATCTTGTGGGAATATGATGTTACGATATCCCACAGGACCTGAAGAGTCTCTCGAGGGGCTGGCCTGTTCTTGCATTTCTCTCTGGATTCTAACCCTTAGTCCTCTTGGGGTATTTCTGCTTTCTTCTTTTCTGGTGGAGGGGACAGTGAGGCTTCTGCCAGACATCAGCTCTGATTGGCCTTGCTTGGATCAAGGATTTGGTCCTGCTCAGTCAGCCATGGCCAAGGAAATGGGGTCATCTGTGGGGAATCAGGATCACACCCACTGGATATGTCTGAGTCAGACCAGTGGGGTGCAGTCATTAGGGGAACCTTCATTTGTCCATAGCATAGGGACTGATGGCACTTTCGTGCCAGGACAGGGTGGCCTTCTCAGGAGCCAGAGAACAGTGGTGATAAAAGGTTTGGGATCCTGAGGCCAGACCAGTCAAGCAGACAGGCAGTATCACCCTGAACAGAGCCCATGCAGGATGGTGGGCACCAGACCCCAAGCCTCTGGTTGAGAACATGGCCCTCCCACATTTAAAGAAAGGGCTAGAGTGACCAGGGTAGGTTCCTTGGAGAAGACAGATTTAAACTTGGCTTAGAACAGGGCGTCTTAACTCTTTTCATCCAATGTTACCCCATTGGCAGACTGATGAAGCCTGTGGGTGGATCCCTTCTCAGGAAAATAGCTTCAGTTATATAAAATAAAATACATAGGATTACAAAGGAAATCAACAATACTGAAGTGCCATTCTAAGAATATTTGTGATCTAGTTATATATGCCTCATTAATGCATTAAAGGATTCAATCTAGCAGTGTAATTACCGTAATTTTAAAGTAGTGAGGCTTATAAATGATATTTTGAGGTATCTGCAACAACTGTATGGGATATGACAACATTTGTGATTTTAATAGGTTTAAAAGTCATAAGAACTGCTAAAACTATTTTGTTGCCTATATTCATGATTGAAAAAGATGCTACATTTCAATTATGGGTTAGTGAAAATAAAGAAGTATTTTTTCCTATCCAAGTTCACAGGCCTCCTGAATTTTGAGTAACTCCTGATAGAGAATTCCTAGTCTAGGAGGATGGTAGGGTTTCTGGGAGCACTGAGAAGGGAAGAGGGTGTTCTGAATGGGGGTTAGCATGAGCAGGGTGCTGAAGTAGGAGGGGTAGAAGGATGGGGGCTGACTTGCTGGGGTGGGACCCTGAAGGTTGGGATGAGGCTCATGGACCTGACTTGGTAAGCTTCAGAGGACCAGCAGGAGAGTTACCTGATGAGAAAGGTAGATGACAGCTCATATAGTAAAGGGGAATCACTAGCAGATGGTAATGTGTTTTTTCATGTTGGAACAGGTCATTCAGATTCTAGGAGACAAGTTTCCATGCACTTTGGTGGCACAGAAGATTGACCGTATGTCTCTGTTTTGTTTTATTTTTAAAAGATGGTTTGATTTCTCTGTCTTCCCATGACCTGACTCTGTGTATGTCTGTTTCCCCAATAAGTGCCGGAGTACCAGGGAGAGCCGGATGAGATTTCCATACAGAAGTGTCAGGAGGCGGCCCGCCAGGTGCTTACCCTGCCCTTCTGTACTGGTCGTCCTTGGGCCTGTGGCTGCTGGGGATGGGCAGAGATGTGGGCACAGTTTGTTATAACTTCAAGGACCTGTGTAACCTTTCCCAATCTTGACCGCATGATATCTCCTACACGCGCGCGCACACACGTTCTTTCTCCCCACCTCCTTTCCTCCCCATTCTCAGATACATACGTTCCAGCCCTACATTCCTCCCACGCACATCCAACCCTGCACTCACACATTTTGTGGAAATGAGAAGGAGCAGTTTGTTATAACTTCAAGGACCTGTGTAACCTTTCCCAATCTTGACCGCATGATATCTCCTACACGCGCGCGCACACACGTTCTCTCTCCCCACCTCCTTTCCTCCCCATTCTCAGATACATACGTTCCAGCCTACATTCCTCCCACGCACATCCAACCCTGCACTCACACATTTTGTGGAAATGAGAAGGAGCACTTTATGAAGAGTCAGGCTGCTTGGGTATGAATTGCAGCTCTGTCATCGCTGTGCCTGGAGCAAGCTTTACAGCCTGCCAAGGTTTTGGTGTCCCCATCTCTAAAATGAAGATGAGTGATTAGCTGAGGCTGCTTCCATGGCTCTTTATGGACATCTGTCTACTACAGATCTCAACTAGCTGTGGGCCTGGCCCCAGCCTGGGTGGCCTGGGTTGTTCAGGGTAGAGATGGGGCCTGCTGCTGGTCACTGATCCTAGAGCTGCATGTCCTTGTGCTGCAGGTACAGGGGCCTGTACTGGTGGAGGACACCTGTCTGTGCTTCAATGCCCTCGGGGGGCTGCCTGGCCCCTACATGTGAGTGCCTCTCTACCCCCTGGCCACAAAACCACCAGAACTGCAAAATGATTGGTTACCTGCTAATGAGGGTTATTCACTGTCTTGGCATCAACACCAATATTTTAGAGGAAGGATTAGGGATAAGAAAGAGGCATGACTTTCTTTTGTAAAGTGTGAGAATGTGATTGTGTAACTGGAGATGGGAAAGGGGGACCCACCTATTTGAGAAGTACATTCATAGGCAGATCAATTTCAGGAAAAAGGCAATAAGGAAGTTGAGATCCAAAAAGTGATTTTTAAAAAACTATCCAGTGCCCTGGGCCCCTTAGAAGATCTTTGTGTATCTCTAGGGTACAAATATTCCAATTTGAAGACCCCTGCATGGGGGCCGGCCCGGTGGCGCACTGCTACAGTGCGCCGCTTGGGAAGCGTGGCGGCGCTCCCGCCGAGGGTTCGGATCCCACATGCAGACCGGCCGCTCACTGGCTGAGCGAGGTGCAGGGGCAGCACCGAGGGTTGTGATCCCGTTGCTGGTCCCGGTCCGGTACGGGCACGACACTGAGGGTTGCGATCCGTTGCCGGTCACGAAAAAAGACAAAAAAAAAAAAAAATGAAGACCCCTGCATGGGATTGGGGGCATAAGTGCTGTTGCTGGGTTTTGGGTATGTGTATCTTTAACTTTTCTTTCTCTCTCTTTTTTTTTTTTTTTTGGTGGCTGACTGGTATGGGGATCCGAACCCTTGAACTTGGTATTATCAGCACCACACTCTCCCAAGTGAGTTAACAGGCCAGCCCTATCTTTAACTTTAAGATGACCAATTTGTTTGCCTGGGCAATAGCATCTATATACACTTGTACCCACAGTACACAAGGGTACTTCAAAAAATTCATGGAGTTCAGATCCCCTTAATGGCCAGCCACACACACACACACACACAAAAAAAAAAGTTCAAGGAAAAATAGAATTGAAAAATAATGCAGGTCTTCCCATGAACTTTTTGAAGTACCCTAGAATGTTGTTCCACATCCTCACCAGCACTAAGGATTATGACTTTTCAATATCCTGAAATTTGGAGAATGGGAAACATTACCACTTGTGGTTTTAATTTGTATTTCCCTAATTGCCAGTAAGGTTAGGGCCTTCATTTGCTTATTGATTCTTCTGTGCATTGCCTGTATGCCTCCATTTCCTTTTCTCATTGGGTTATTTCTCTTCATTTTGATTTGAGATGTGCTTTTTCATTTCCCCTCGGCTGTCCCAGGGCTCTAATGTGGGGCACAGCCCAGAGGAGGTGGTGGTAGGAAGATCCTTCTGCTCCTGGTATCTGATTATCCTTTCTTTCTCTTGTAGAAAGTGGTTTCTGCAGAAATTAAAGCCTGAAGGTATGATTCCCTTTGTTTCTTTTTTCCTTGGAACTGTTGGGAATTGGGAATATGGGGGCAGTCTAGGAGAGGGGCCCCAACTAGTAATCAGGAGTCACAGGTTCCAGCACCCACCATGGAGCCTCCATTCACTTCAGTTTCCCCATCTGTGACCTGCAGCTCACACTTTCCCTGTATACCAGAGATCATTGAGATGGGGGAGGAGGGATGGGGATGGATGGTAGGGGCTGTGAGCTTGAGGAATAAAGCAGTGGTTGATTCTGGGTCTTGAGAGGGACTTGGTCCTAGTGACTGCCTGTGTGTGCTTGCCTCAGCCAGGGCCTGTCCTGGGGGTTTGGGCGCTGCCCTTCCTAGGCCCTAGCAGTCCAAGCCCTGTCACCCACAGGTGCAGGCCATAATGTTCCCTTTTTAGGGGCTTTTCAAAACACTATATTATGGAGCATTTCAAACATGTACAGTAGTACAATAGAATATAATAATGACCATAAATGTATACAATTATTATTTGTATACAATTTTTTCAATGGATGAAAAAAAAGAATAGTAGAATAATGAACCCTATGTCTTCATCAGCCAGCATTCCAGGGTTTTCAGCACAAGGCCCATCTTGTGACATCTGTAACCCCTGCTAATTTTTCCTCAGTCCAGTATTTTAAAGCAAATCCTAGACATTGTCTATAAGTTCTTCAGCCTGTATCTCTAAAAGATGAAAATTTTAAAAACCACTTACCAACTAAAATAATACTTTCTTGATGTTATGTTCGCAGTCATTTTTCAGATTTCCTTGATTGTTGCAAAAATGCCTTTTTACAGTTAGGTTAGTTTCGAATTGGGAACCAAACAAGGTCCACACTGCATTTGGCTGATTTTCTGACTTTTAACAAAGCCTGTGTCAGCTTGTGCCAGAGGGAAGAGTGGATGCCCAGAGCCTTCAATTTCAAGCCCAGCCCCTGCTTTGCGGGGCTCGGCTCCCTGGAAGGGGCCAGTGTGAAGCCCTCATAGCCACCTACCCCGCCCCCCATCCAATTTGGGGAATCCTTTCTCCCCACCCTTGGTGGGCTTATTGGGGAGGTGAGGATGGGGCAGCGCAGATGCACTGAAACCTCACTGCGCCGGTCTGCAGGTCTCCACCAGCTCCTGGCCGGGTTCGAGGACAAGTCAGCCTATGCGCTTTGCACGTTCGCGCTCAGCACCGGGGACCCCAGCGAGCCTGTGCGCCTCTTCCGGGGCCGGACCTTGGTTCGTACTCACCCGGACGCTGTTCCCCCGCCTGCCGCCAGAGGGCGCGGCAACCCGGGTACCCTGGCAGGGAGGGTCCCCAGAGCCGGAGTCAGTTACCAGGTCCTTGCTGACCTGCTCCCCTGGGCTCCACAATTAGAAGCGCTGTCAATCCCAAAAGCAATTTGCAGGGAAACACAATGGCTAATAGCTTGTGAGGTCCGATAGACCCAGAGCTCTGCAGATGTGCAAACTGAAGGTGACAACTCCCAAAGCTACATCTGTATCCAAAACTTCTCCCACCTCCAGTCTCTTTATCCAACTGCCAAGGTCTCACAGCCTTTCCGACTTTTCATGTTCATATAGAATTTTTTTTTTTTTTTTGGTGGCTGGCCAGTACCAGGATCCAAAACCTTGACCATGGTGTTATAACACCATACTCTAACCAAGTAAACTAACCAGTCAGCCGCATAATGAATCTTAATTCTTTGTCCAAACTTATTCCTTTCCCACTGCCATTCAACACCCTCATGCCTACCTACCAGACCCTTAGGTTCAGCTGCTTCTCTCAGGTCCGCGTTCCATCCATTCTCGCCCGTGTCAGGAGAGTGCCTTCCGGCACATCACTCCTCTGCTCGGGAGAAAATCCAGAGGTTCCACTGGGAGCTGACCACAGATGTTTTGCTTTACCCTGCCTGGTTAAATTGGTGGTAGTGGTAAAAAACACAATATAAATTTACCATCTTAGCCATTTTTAAGTGCACAGTACAGTAATGTTACGTATATTCACATTATCGTGCAACAGATCTCTAGAACTTTTTCATTTTGCAAAATTCAATCTATAACTATTGAAGAACTCCCGTTTTCTCCCTCCCATAGCAACCACCATTCTACTTACTTTTCCTGAGAATTTAACTACTTTAGATACATCATATACATGGAATCATATAACATTTGTCTTTTTGTGACCTGCTTATTTTACTTAGCCTGTGTTCATACATGTTGTAGCATATGACAGAATTTCTTACGATTTTGAGGCTGTATAATATTTCATTGTATACATAGACTGCATTTTCTTTATTGACTTATGTGTTGACGCACATTTATGTTGCTTCCACCTGTTGGCTACTGTGAATAATGAACATGGGAGTGCAGGCATCCCTTCAGGATCCTATGTTTAGTTCTTCTGGATAGATACCCAGAAGTGGGATTGCTGGATTGCCTGGTTATGTTTTTTAAAATTTTATTTGTAGTTGTTGCAGCTTTTGCAAAAATGTCCACTCCTCTTGAAAAAATCAGAAGCTTAACCACAGGCCCAACTTCCCACACAGTGACTGAGTAGCAGCCACACTGCTGTCAGGGCCTGCCATCACTGCAGTCCCTGCCAACCCCTGCTGTTTCCCCAGCTTTGGCTGCTTCCTGTGCTTTGTTGCTCACCAGCCCTACTGCAGCTGAGGTAGCCTCACTTCTTCGTCTTGTTCTGTCTTCACCTGTGTACTCTTAAGTCTCAGCCACATTGTCCTTTCAGCAACTCAGATATGCCAAGCTCTTTCCCATTTCAGGACCTTTGTACTAGCTGTGTCCTGCACCTGGAATGTTCTTGCTCTAGCCCTTTACGTGGCCAGTGTCCCTTCCTCACTATGGCCTTTCCCTGAGCTTCCCACCTAAGTCACTCCGTCCTGTTATTCTTGAGCTGAACACCCTGTTCTTTCCCTTTAAAGCACTTTGCATTTGGTAATCATTCATTTGTTTACTGGTATCATGCCTGTTTTGCATAAGAGATCCATCAGGCAAGAGCCAGGTGAGGCCTGCTGAGACTCCAGTGCTGAAAACACTGCCTGGTCCACTGTAGGTGCTCAAAAAACATTTGTTGCATGGGTGTGGTTCAGAGTGGTTCAGTAACTGGCCTTGGTCACACAGCTCCCCACCTGCAGAGATAGAATTTGCCTTTGGCTCTAAATGACATGACATTAATGTGGCTAATCCCCATCGTCTACCACCTCCCTTATATTTTTGAAGTTAGATTTTTCTTTTTACTTTGGCCATATGACATTCTATGACACTGGACCACAATTTGTTCTCTTTATAACATTTTCATGTTGGAATTTGTCTGTTACGGCCAGTATGTACTGAGCTCATTCATGTTTTGGACACTGTGCTGAGTACTTTATATTATGGTATTTCATTTAATTATTAGAGTCTCTCTTGTATTCTGAGAAATGCTGTAATAGTAGCAGGCACAGGGCTTGTCTGCAAAGTTCAGGGTCCTTAACTTCCTGTTAGGAAAAAGTGTTTTCTGTCAATTTTTCAAGATTGACTCATTTTACTTCAATGAGGTCACAGTTTGCCAAAGGTGTAGAGAGGAAGGTGGTCCCAGAAGTGTTGGTAAACTGATCAAGTACGTGGTTCCTCCCAGTGTGTGAGGGGAGAGCTGCCTTCTCTGCATTTTATTTATGTATTCAGCAAACATTTGCAGGACTCCTTGAAAAACTACATTTTGAGTAAATATGGTTTAATCAAATTCACAAACTAACCAACTCAAATTGGCTACTGCCCTCCTGGTGTATCTCCTCCATGCCCAATAACACACCTGTCCCCCACTTCCTGTGGCAGGGCCAGATCGTGGTGCCCCGAGGCTGCCGGGACTTTGGCTGGGACCCCTGCTTTCAGCCTGATGGATACGAGCAGACGTAAGGAGCCCCAGTTTCTTCCCTGGGGCGTGGGGTCGGGATAGCCGTGGTTTGGTTGGGTTGACAGCCCGGCCAAGTTCAGGCATGCGGATACGGCAGGGGCAGGCTCTGAGGGTGCTATTCCAGCTGAAGGCAGCTCTGCTGGTGGACACAAGGAATCTGGGTGGCCCAACCCATGTAGGGAAGTCAGCTGGGCGGAACTGGGAATCCCAAGCTCTCGGGCTCTATCCCACCCCAGAGCAGCTGTGTGAACAGTGGCTTCCCCTCTCTGGCCTTGGCTTATCATGCATAAACCTGACAGTTTAGTGGTATGATTTTCTGACTCCCCCATCCAGGTTAGAAAATGTTAACACTTTTGCAGCCTCTGGTGGGCACCACATTAAACCCCCATAGTACCAAATGTTCTCAGTATTTCACCCCAGCCCTCCTTTATTTACATGGGACAAATCGGCTATTATTGAAATCAGGCTTTTCAGGCTGGAGGGGCTGTTAGAGAGCCCGACCTCATGCCTCACAATAGCCAGACAGAGCTAAGGACATTGTAAAGCAGCACTGTCCAAGAATGCTCTTTGGTGATAGAAATGTTCTATATCTGAGCTGTCCCGTGGAATAGCCACTGGCCACATGTAGCTGCGGAGCACTTGAAATGTGGTTAGACTGAGGAACTGAATTTCTTTTTATTCAACTTTAATTAATTTAAATAGCCACATGTGGCTACTGGCTCCCAGTTTGGACAGCACAGGTCTGGATCCTACAGGCAGAGTGTGTGATTCTCCACTCCCTGGAGTCCTGGCCTGGAAGACAGGCCTCTGGCCAGCTGTTCAAGTCCTCCCTGCCCCCAGTGCATTAGAGGAGGCTGCTGTGTTTGCTCTGTCAGGTCCCACTGCTTCCTGTCAACAGATGACAAAGCTGATTAAACATGTAGCTCATCCCCCTGTCCCCAACTTCCCTTAGTGACTTTTGGACACACTACAGCAAGTTTAATATCCCTCCATGCTCATTAATGTTGGTTTCTACCTACAGGGGAATTTAAAACTCTATTTGATTTTTAAAAAATTAGCTGGCTGCCAGGAGCTAATTTCCCTGCTCCCCTTTCTTGGGGACTCCTTGAGCTTTGGGCTCCCGGGGTGGGGTAGGAAGGGGTGTGGGTGCACGTCTTCCCTGATTCTGGGCTCCCTCTTCTCTGAGCTGCTGCTGTCACCCTTAGGTACGCAGAGATGCCCAAGGCTGAGAAGAACGCCATCTCCCACCGCTTCCGGGCCCTGCTTGAGCTACAGGAGTTTTTTGGCAGCTTGATTCCTCCTGGGGCTGGAGGAGGCCATATGGGCCTGGGATCTGGGGAGGGCTAACCCAAAACCTCTCCCATCAGGCAGGCAGACACCCCTCCAAGTCCTTCCTTCAGGGTTACCCCTTCATGGGGGTTTTGAGGCCTCCTCACCAGCCCTGCCTGCAGGAGCAGCTGGCTCTGCTTAAGAGAAACTTGGAGCAAGGTGACACCATTCTCATGCCCTTGGTGATTCAGTGATTTCTTCTACAGCCTCCAGGCCTGGGATCCGGAAAGTACCTTGGGTTTTAAAGCTGGCCTTGGCAGGACTGAGGGTTTGGGGAAGAACCACTCAAACAACTTTTTATGTTTTTTAAAAGCTGCAAATAAAAATTCTGGAAGGCAATTGTTTCCAAAGTAAACCAGATATATCTGCCTTGAACCCTGCCCCAGGCAGGTGTGTGTCTCCTGAGTCGCCTTTGGCAGATGCAGGAAGCCTTCTGGGTGGGGGCGGGGGCGATGGGACAAGAGTGGCACTGTGTCGAGGTGTTTGTGCACCATTGCTAGCGGCAGCGTTACGTCCTTCTCCACTTGCGTCCTTCTCTCTCCTTCAAGTCATGGTTGTGGGCTGACCCTTTCCATGCCAGGTCCACCTGTCCACCCGCCATCAGGTGATGCTGCCGCCAGCTGGTCTCCATGGTCTTTTCTGGGTTGTGGGGACGGAGGGGGGAGGGTAGTGTGTCCAGTGCTTTTGTTTTACGCTGTTACACATCAGAGTAGCTAAAATGTTGGTTTATGATTATAACACCAAGTTCATTTTTATGATGGGGCAGGGAAGGGAACCCTTAACACACGCTGAGTTGACATGCCACAGGTCAGCTTGGGGGATACAGACCCCACAGGAGGCCTGGCTCACCTGTCCCAGACGCTCACTGTGCCTGTGAAGCCATCCCTTAGAAGGGACTTAGGGGCCTAGATGGCTCCCTGGTATTTCCTGCACGTGATTCTCTGGTAAGGAGGAGTGCCCAGCCACAAGGATGGTCAGAAAACAGGTCAGGTGAGAAAGTGAGGCAGGGTGTGGGGGGTTGCCCAAAATGCTAATGGGTACTCCCAGGCTTCCTCTTTGCTCACAGGCAGCTCTGGAGAGCATCCTCTCCAGTCCCTGTTCCTCAATCCTGGCAAGATGGCCCAGGGCCTGGGTCTAACAGTTCTGAGAACTGCTTCTTTCCCCGATCTGCGGCCGTGCAAGTGGGTGAGGACAGAACATCAGTCCTTTACTCCCCTCTGGCCTGTGCCCCTGCCCCGCCTCCTGAGTGGTGCCCTTGGTGGATGGCTGATGTCTGGCTAGGCCTTAGACGTGGGGTGCTGGGGGCCTTCCTGCTTTTTGCCCAGTGATTCTGGACATGGCCCTACGTGCAGGGAACAGCCAGGCTACTGGGGAGGGGACCCCAAAGAAGAATCACATGCTACATGGGCCGGGGGCTACAGGGAGCTTGGGGCAGGGCACTCCTATGTGTGCTGTTCAGCCCCTGCCCTCGGGTTCTGTCCTGGGGGCACACTATACTTTCTGTCCCCCTTTTTTGACTCTAGCTACCCTTCCCCACACACAACACCGTGGAGAGCAGGCTTGTACCCACCCCACCCATGAGCAGAATTGCACCCCAGTCTCCACACCTCTCATCAGCACCCAGAGGCTCCCTGTCCCCCTGCACCGCCTTCCAGCCTTCTGAGCTGTGCCAGTCTGCCAAGCGGAAGGTGGCATCTCACAGAGATCAGCTCTTGCTCTTTCCCTGCTCACAGCCTTTGCCTCTTTTCTGTTGAGGCTGCTGTGTTTTTCTTGTTGGTAAGGAATTCTTTGCATATTTTATTTATTTATATTTTCGACAGCTGGCTGGTATGGGGATCCAAACTCTTGACCTTGTTATGACACCACACTCTAACCAAGTGAGCTGGCCGGCCAGCCCTGTATAATTTAGATATTAGTCCCCTTTTCAGTTTTAGATGGGGCAAATCTCTTTTCTCCATCTGCTACCTTAGAACATGGGGCATTTGTCAATCCAAAGTCCTGTCCGGTGATGTGACAGGGTGTCTGTGAACCAGGTGTTCCTGTCCACCACTGCTGCTGCTCCCAGGTATGCACAGGGGACACATTCCCTGCTGTTGGCTGCCATTGTTATCGGCCCTGGCCAACCACCAAATGACCAAGCCTTCTCTCCTCCATCAGTCCCCACATCCTGCCATGTGCAGTTCCCCCAATTCCCTCCAGCAGCACCGTCTGTCACACAGTTGCTGCCCCCTACCTATAAAATCTGGGATTCACACAACAGATGGGATGGTTCAGAAGTGCCGCTGCGACCTACACACATTTGTTGTCAATCTCCCCTCAGGCAGCTTTCACCTGAGAGTCCCAGGGCCCTTTACTGTCAGCCCTGGCAGTCCCACCAGTGACACCCTCCACTCCACACTGCTGTCCACTACCAGCCACAGCGCCTCCCTGGCCCCCAGCCCATTCTCTGGGCCCTTGCACATGCTGTTCCCAGAACACTTTCCCTGCAGGTCCCTGGCAACTCGGCCTTTGGACCTCCTGGACTGTCCACGTTTCACTGTTGAGCCAATATCCACTGTGCAGGGTTCAAGGGGAAAGCCCATAGGTGGCACTCGACAAACATCGGTCCCTTTCATTCCACTTCCCCAAGGCTGGGGTCGGGTAGCAGAGATGGAAGTAACACATAGAAGCATAGAAATAGGAGCTTTATTCTCTAATGTGTATACAGAGAGTTCCTTACACAATCAAGGAAATGGTTTCTCTTTCAGGCATCGACTCTTTTATCAAAAGAAAATCAATCCTGCTTAGTCCCACCCTGGGCAGAAGCTGCCCTTAGCAGTGCTCCTGACCCAAAGCTAAAGGCGAATGGGGTGAGGGTGGGCACACTCCACTGAACCCCTCAACACCCAGTACCTCCACCCCCCTACAGACAGCCACAGAGCCAGCCTGGGAGCTTGGGGACAGCCAGGCGAATGGGGTGTGGTCAGGGCCTGCCAGTCAGGGCCTGTGCTCAGCATCCATGATGTCCAAGTATTTGGCTTCTATGATTCGGGGCAGCAGGATGTAGCTGGAAGGGGAGAGAGAGAGGCAGGAAGATGAGTACTACATCAGAGAGAAGGCTGCAGTGCCCACCCGGCCCACCCTCAGGACCAGGCTGGGCCCCTCCTGCCCACTGCCCACCCACCCCCTCTCCCCTCACTAGGCTGGGCCCTCCTGCCCGCAGTCTGCCCGCCTGTACCGGATGGGGATCATGGCAATCATGATGAGGGGAAAGATCATCTTCATGTAAGGCAGGGAGCTCATGCCAAAGGCACAGAGCAGCAGCAGCTGCAGGACCTGCAGGCCTGTGAAGTAGTGGATCTTCCTCTGGGGCACCCTCCGGATGTAGTGTGTGGGTGGGTAGGCAGTCTGCGGGTGGGCAGCAGGGACCAGGTGTGGGCGGGCATGGGCTGGATCCCCCCAGCCACACACTTCCCTCCCAGGACCCAGCACTCACCTGCTCCTTGAGCAGCAGGGCCACACGCTGGAAGAGCTGGTTGCCGTCGAGAGAGGTGAGGGCAATGTAGAGGAAGAGGCCATAGAGCACTGGCTTGGGGATCCACTGCAGGGGGACAGGCAGCAGCAGGAGGGAGAAGCCCACCAGGATGCTGGCGCCCAGCGTGGTCAGCCGCGTCTCCCTCACGTTCACGATCCTGCATGGTCCCAGGGCCCACCTCAAGTCACACATGCTGTCAGGGCTATGTTACTTTTTAGCCCAAGTCTCCTGAGCCACATCCCTCCCCAGGCGGGCTCCCCCCACCTCAGGGTCCACATGGCCCTTGGCCCAGGCCTCAAGGGGTTACTGTCACACTCACGTCTCATAAATGTGTCCGTTCTCCACACGTTCTTCCACAAAAGCAAGTGCCCGCACATGCAACGGGGAGTGGGGGTAGGCAGCATGGATCCAGGGCAGCCCAAACAGAGACAGCCCTGTGTTGATGATGGCAAGGAGCAAGAGGTCCCAGTGGTAGGCAGTGCCCTTCACCAGCCTGTGACAGAGGGCACAAGTGGACAGAGCCCTGTTGGCCCCTGGAGAGTCGGGCACCTGCTCCTCCTGCCTTCCCCAGCCCTCCATACCTGTTCTCTGGTGCATTAACCAAGGCAGCCACCAGGTTCTGCTCAATGAAGAAGAGCATGGAGAGCAGGAAGCCGAGGCCCATGGCACTGCTGATGGCCTTCAGGGACAGCGAGCGGATCTGCGCGATCCCAAACAGGCTTTTGCTGGGGTTGTAGCGGAACTGGCTCACTGCAGCAGGGGACAGGCTCCTGCTAGGCCTGCAGCCCTCAGGGAGCAACCCCGTGCCACCCCCAGCCCAGTCCCAACTCACTCTTGATCTCCTGGAAGCCGTAGGAGCTGATGAGGGAGAAGGTGAGCACGGCGATGGGCAGAGCGCAGTCGGACAGTATCTCACGCACGTAGGGGTGCAGGTAGGGGCTGGACACATGGGCAGGTGCATCAGCACGGCCTGGGGCTGTGTGGCCCTCCCCTTCACCCCGAGGCCCTCCTCACCTCTTCTTGAACTGGTAGAGGGTGTAGCCCAGCCAGAGCGTGCCCAGCATGATGAGGAGACTGAGCACCGCTGTCGCCCGGCCCAGGTGCCCCGCACTGAGGCTGCCCAGATCCACCAGCTCTGTCGGGCTGGCCAGGAGGCTGGTGTTGAGGGCAGTGTGGTGGCTGGTGTTGAGGCCGGTGCCATGGCCCAACAAGCTCGCCAGGGATGAGGTCCTTTTTACATAGGAGTCGTCAAAGTAATGACCGTAGTAGTACTTCCAGAAGACTGTGGATACAGGCCGACAGGCCTCAGCCGCTGGGTTCTGGGAGGTTGGGGCCCAGCTTCCTCCTGGATGTGGGGTGCAGGGGCCCAGGGGAGGAGAGGGGGAGGGGGAGGGCCCTCAGGGGAGAAAGGCTTCTGGGGAGGTGGAGGGGGAGAGGAATTGGGGAAACTCTGGCTCCCTCTGCCTATCCACCTACCATCCTCACCCACACCCCGCCACTGTCTGTGACACCCCATCACACCTGGCCTAGTGCCTCTAACCCCATCTCTTATCCTGCCTGGGCAGCCCTGTCACCCTCCAGCACAGGCAGCTGCTGCTCTCAGCCAGCCACAGCTCCCAGAGCACCCTTGACCATGGGAACAACCTTAGCTTGAGCCCTTCTTGTCTGCCCTGCCAGGCCACAGCCCAGAGCCTCCATCTCAACTTAGTTCCCTCAGCAGCACGTGGCCTCCCGCAATACACTCACTTTTGACCATGCCCTTGACGGCGTCCACCACGAACGTGATGGAAATGAACAGGGCAATGATCTCCTCCGTCGACCTGCCAGGAGGTGATGTGCCTCTTAA